TTTATTTATCAGAATATTAATGAAACATGCTCATATAGTATAATAAATTAAAATAAATTAAATTTACGAGATATTTTATTATATTTTATATTTGAAAAATTAATTTATAAATCTAGTTATATACCTAATGAATTACATATAAAGTTTATTTTTTTTAAATTAAGAATTATATGTTTACTCTCATATTAGGTTTAATTATATATGTTAATTACAAAACTGTTAACATGGGTTATAGAAGTGATTTATAATGCGCTCGAGCAGCATCTAACACCCCAAATATTTTATTAATACAAATTATGATAATGGCGTTAGGCCCTGCAAAAATCTCTTAAATATATTTTTTTATTATAGTTCAGTTTGTTTTAATTTTTATATTATATATAATTAAATTATGTTAGTAATTGGCTTATTTATTTATAATTTATTTGTATTTACAATTAGTTTATTTGCTACCTAAGCGTTAGGTATTAATTTCAGCTTAATATAAAATATTTATAAATACTAACTAATTTTATAATATACATGTAATAATTTATATAACATATCACAACTAATAAATTTTATTTGCAAAGATTTAATCCAGAATATTTTGAGACCATGGCATATAAATATTTTTTTGTTTAAGATACAAATACTCCGAATTTTTATTCCTGTACTGGATAACTATACCTAGAAGAAATAAATAAATATTATTTTATACACGAATCTTACAAAGGGTGAATATATTCACTGTCTCTCTTGAATGAGTGTTAATATGAGGCATCTCTTTAATATTATTTGAATTGATTTCTCTTTCCCTTTTGTAACTCTCATGACACAAATTTCAAAATAAAATAATAAATCAAAGTAAAAGGAAAGTCACCGCCTTTCATTTAACTATCATTACGTTCAAACGAAAAGCATTCCCAGTTGGCACTTAGTCAAGTTTCTTTTAGTCTTAATCAACTCTTACTTTTGTCAAGTGAAAGAATTTCACTTTATTTGTTTCCTTGTACTATTCCAGTTTAATTTTCTTGAACTCAAATATTCAAATATTTTATTCAAATTTATTGCAGCACAAATGACATTGTGAAACCATAATTGACCCCTGGTCTTGAATATTTGCTGCTTGTCTTGTTTTGTCTTTGTATTTTATTTGTTTTGTTTTTTTTTTATTTGGCAAGGCCACTAAAACCCACAAAATGCTACAGCAACAACAGCAGCAGCGGACAATAAGGCAAAGTTAAACAAAGTTGGCGCACAGGCAACAGCAACAGCAGCAGCAACAGCAACAGCGACCACAAAAACAACGAAAACTTGAGGGCCAGTAAGAGGGAACAGGGGCGAGGGACAACGGGTTCACTTAAAGGGCCAGCCAAACAAAGGACAGCGTTGATGTCGTTGCGGCAGCGGAGCAGAGGACGCGTCATGGATACAAAAGCGCCCCGATGAGATGATCGCTGGGCAGTCAAAGCTTCATTCTCAGTGGCTGGTCTCAAAAGCGCGCTGAATGAGCAGCAGCAACAACAACAACAGCAGAAGATATTCGCATCCGTTGTGCTGCGAATTTTCGTAGTGGGCACCCAGGCGCTGGTCCCAACGCCGCGCCGCCCGACCCCGGCAGAGCGAAAGCAAACCTCTGGAATTCGGTGGCCGCACAACGCTGCATAATGAAAGCCAAATGATGGGAAACCTTTTTATTCGCAGTCACAAAAAGAAGCTAAAAAAGCTTTATATATTTTTATATATAGAGATATAAAAAGTAAAAGTAAGACAAAAAGCAAAACTAATTAGTCATAAGATCCCAAATGAAAGCCGAGGCACTTGCTACGATTTGACTTTGAACTCGATTGTAACTCAATTATGAGCTAGCTGGGTGGCCCAGCCCTGCACTGCTCTGCCCGGGCCCCTTCAGCCGGCAGCCGCCCTCCCTGCGGGGCAGGGGCCCTCGACAGCTGTCGCGTCTTTAGCCAAAAATGGTAATGTTTACATGCGTGTCCATGGCTATGGGCCCCCTATTGGATGTGCCAATGTCCATGTATGTGTTGGCAACACTTTTTGCGTGCCGTTAATTACATGGCCAGGTCGGGCAGGCTGGTCTAGTCGTCTGCGGTCTCTGAGGGTCTTTGCGTCTCGCGCCTGGTGGTCTCTGCGTGGTCATTGCTTCCTGGTAGTTCAACTTGTCGCCAGTTGTAAACAGTTAACAGCAGCAGCAGCAGCAGCAGCAGTCGAGCAAAGCTGCTGATGATTGATAGCCATAGCCATGGCCAGTGGAGTAAAGTGAAGCCAGCAAAGCTGTCTATTTGTCTAATCCATTAAATTCTCACGGTTCACGCCTGAAGCATAACAATTGCCACTTAATTAACACCAAACTACATGCGACGCCGTTTGCCAATGTGTCGAAAATATTTCGGCCCTTTTGCTTGGGCAGCAGGTGAAGTGAAGCGAGCCACCAGCCCTGAGTAGCTAGCTCTGAAAGTTTTGTCATGCCAACGCTGGCGCGTGAGTCGCATGACAAGTGATCGCTGAAAGATCTTGAAGTTGGTTCGATATCCATGTCGAACCGTTGCATTTGCCAAATCAAACAGCGGCTGCAAACGTGTGGCGTCTGCAATTACAACACAAAGAAGCGACTCCAATGCGAGCCCAACCGAGCCGAGGCGAGGCGAGGCAAGTCGAGTCGAGTCGAGTGGAGCTACATGCTCCAAACATGACGAACAACAACTGTCATTGTCACATCCAGCAAGCACCAAGCAGCAGCAGCAACAAAGATGAGTTGGCTGCATTTTGATTTCGTTGCACGTTGCACGTTGCACGCTGCCAGTTGCCAGTTGCCAGTTGCCAGTTGCTAGTTGCAATTCATTAGGCCGCCAGACCATTTTGGGATGCGCGTGCGCCGCTTTTGGCCGTCGCTGTGGGCCGTCTCTGTAGTGCAACATAATCTTAATCCGCTCGTTAGTTTTATTGATTAGGACGAATGTCGGGCCGCAGCTGCAGCGCGACTCTTCGGAGACAACAATTGTCGCCTCGCTGTGCCATATTTGTGACAGGCACAGACAATGCCTTAGCCGCGTCCAACGCGACTCGGGGCTCACTATATGCCCCCGTGGGGTTATAATGGCCAATAGTAATGGTATCGCTATTGCCAAAGGTAATGGCTAACAACAACACCTCAGTGTCTATGTATACGTGTGTATGTTCCATTGTTGTGGGTTTCAGGTGAATCATTTGCCAGGCATTTGAAGCTGTTCTCTAATCGCAACTGGCATAATGTGCGGAAAGCGTACCAAGCGAACATTAGGAACAGGCTTTTCAAATTAATTGATTGACTTACATTTTATTATTGTGCAAATTCCTTCAAAGTAAAGTCAGAATTCTATATTTATTCGGTTTCGTATAGTTAGCTAAATATGTATACATGTCAGCCACTTAACATTGTAAATTTTTTTGTTTTACTTTTATTTCAAGTCATCATTAACTGCTAATTGATTTTCAAGTTAATTGATTTGAATTACAATTGATTGGTCGATAAATTCCATTGAAATACAATCAAAATTGAGTCAGTTTTAAGGCAATTTGTATCATATTTTAATACAACAAACTAGCTAAACGGGGCGGCAGTCTAGAAAGTGTTTTCGAATACAATAGAAAAAAACAAAATAAAAATAATAATAAAAAATATAATTTTATAAAAATAAATAAAATAAATTAAAATTAAAAATATTAATATAAATAAATATAACTAAAGAAACACTCTTGTATAACTTTCAAACTTAAAAAATAACTATTATCATTTTTCAATAAAAATATTATGTTTCTGCACATTTCTCTAAAGTCTGAGCTGTTGTGTTCTTAAACAAAATTTTGAATTAACAAAAATAAATACGAAAAATATTTAGGATATAAAGGAATATTTAATTTATTAAAATACATTTTAATTTGAAGTTGCCTTCAAGGAAATTATATTCTAATTAACAGTTGAAATAAAACAAAAAAAATACAATTTTAATTGCTCGATTCAGTTATCCGATAAAACATTTTAATTGTTATGTTATCGACAAGCATCGCAGATCAAAAATAGACTATATATCATGATATTTGAGTGGTTGCCGCTAATCAGAAATCTGTGACTGCGACTTCCTGAACAAGAGAATTGCATTGTGGATGGTTTTTTGGATTACCCACCCGTTTAATGATTGGGAATTGCAGCAGCGTATCAGAGAGCGAAACAAAACTGTCAACTGCGCTGGACACATGTAGCACGATCACTTTTTGCACACATACGACTGGCGGCTGGCAGATCAGTAGCTGGAATCAGGATCAATGTAAGCCGGGCCACATCAGCCACAGCAGCGGGCTAAGCAGCCCTGGCTGGGTCTGGCCAGATTGTACCCCCGATTCCGATACCGATTCCAGCCGCCTCGTCTAGATCTGTCGCTGTCAGTTGCATAGTTGCCCCGGCAATTGCATGTCCAAGATCTGCTGGCTCCTTCGCCGCCTGCTCCTCCTGCTGATTGTCGCTGAAAGTTGAAAGCCGTTCGGCGCTGGCCGCTGACAGCGCGGAATTGTCGTTCGCATTGTCAGGGGCCCAGCAGAGATCGAGAAGAAGAAGCAGAAGAGACGCCGACGATATACAAAAGATGCAACTGTCGTTGCTCGTTCGTTACTTGTTGTTGTTACTGTAGTTGCTGCTGCTGTTGTTGTTGCTGCTGCTGCTGCCCAGGCTGACAGCCAGCAACACAAAAAATGCGCTTGGGAAACTGCCACCGAGCTGCTTAAATCAAATATTGAAATACCTCGCACAGACCATGACCCAAGCGGCCTCCTCCCCTTCTCTTGCTGCCCCCTGCCCCACCACTGTCGTCCCCTCTCGTCGGCTGGCTAATTGCCGCACACTTGAACCAAATAATTGCTCAACAAAATAAATTCCACATTGTTTTTCTTGTTTTCTTTTGTTTTTGTTTTTTTTTTTCATATGAATTTTCGTTGGTTTTGATTTGTTTTTTTTTTTGTTTTTTTTTTTTATTGATTTGTGCATTGCATTCGCAATTTGTTTGTTTTTTGTTGTTTTTCTTTATGTTTTTAATACTTTACAATATTGAATGTTGTCTATGCTCTAATATAAATTAATTAAATATACTTGAATTAGTCGTCTAATTAATCATTAATCTATCAATTAATTAATTATTAGTAATACCTAGAACGCACAACCGAAAAGGCAACATATTTGATAGATAAATTAAATTTTGCATGGATAAAAAAACACATTTATATTAAAATGTTTTTTTTTGTAATAGTTAGTAAAAAGATTTCATTACTTTTGTGCAAATTTCATAAATTCCAAAGCAGAAATAACAGAGTAAAACTTATTGTTTATGTGGCGCCATCTAGCGTGCATTTGCTGTAATTACTTAGACATAACGAACTTAAATTAATTTAATTAAATATACTTAATTATGTACACAAAATGAATGAAAGACGCAGACATGGAAAGCGTAAAGGGTGCATAGTTCATATGAACATTGCGAGCTAGTTCCCTTTTGGCTAAAGGTTCACGTGGCGTATGCTTAACATGCGATTTGCAGCTGGGCAAATTGGAAATGCAAGCAGCGCTGCCAGCGTCGAGGTCAGCGTCGCTGTTAACTAGACAGCAACAATGTTGTTATTGTTGCTGTTAGAGAGAGAGAGAGAGAGAGAGAGAGTTAGAGGGAGAGAGAGTTTCAGCTGCGCGCAATTGAATTTCAGTCTTGTTTTCAATAATTTCGAACAATTTTTTCGTTGATTGAATGAATTGGGTAGAAGGAGATGCTTAAACGCGCTTGCTTTCTTTAAATTATGAAATCTATAGCTACATAAGACTAAAATTTAGAGCATACTTTATACTTTTATGGGCCTTGCAGAGCAGCAACGTGATTTACAAAAAAAATTTGCTGCTTTTGCTTATAGAACTAAAAACTGGGCAAAACGAAGTTGTACACTCTACTTTTGTCGTGTCAATAAACTCCTTGCTATATATATATATCTATATATATATATATATATTTATATATATACTTATATATATATGTACGTAATACTGCTAAAAAGTCAGAGTAGGCTGTTATGTGCGCGTAAATTAGGGGCGGTTCATGGACTTTAACTAGGCTTTAGTCTAGGCTCTTAACTTCTAATAACAAAGGCTAAGCGTAGACAAATACATAACACATACACAAAGTGGGAATTGGGATAGGCTAGTGGGCAAGAGGGCGGGGCCGACAGGCTGACAGACGAAGCGATCTCTTACAGACACGTGTGTATGATCTTCTTGGTTCGACACAGCTTGCACTTGACCTCGCAGCACCAGTGGAAGGTGCAGGCGCAGCGCTCCACAACGACGACCTCTTGTGTGCGATAGCCACGCCCACAGCACATCAGATCACAGCCATCGACGCCCAGCGAGGTGTCGTTGCACTGCCGTCCGTGTGTGCCCAAAATGCCCTGCCGCAGATTCTTCTCGCAGAAACTTGGCGACGGCTCCAAGTAGACAATGTCCTTGGGACCTGGCGGCTTGTGCTCCGGATTGTGTGGATTCAGCTGGAAGTGATATCTGCAAAGAAGATAACAAGCGGCGATTGAGTAATGTATAAAAGTATATGGATACAGAATATCTAACAGATACTGATGATGCAAAGATATAATATTTCGAAGATGGAGATGAAGATGGAGTTAGAGAAAGAGGAGATGAAGATATTAGCGCATCTGAGACAATTCTTAATCGAGCAAAGTTATATTCTTCAGCCTCATCCATCGACTATGAATCGTTTCTTACCTATTGTGTTTGCGACCCTGGCGACCGCGTCCATGTCCGCGTGACCTGGCGCCTGCAACTGGCAGACTGTTGGGCGATGGCATATTGGGATGATGCTGTTTGCTATTGGGATGACTGTTGTCCAGCAGCAGTTCGGGCATGTGATCGTTGAGCATGCGCTCCTCGTCGTCGTAGCCGTTGACCGAGGGCGGCAAGCCGTTGCCACCGACGCCGCCAACGCCACCCACAACGCTGTTGGGTCCAGCCGCATTCGGGTTGACAACGGCGACGGCATTGCTGCTCTGGCGCAGACTATTGCTAACCTGGACTCGTGTGGCGCCATCGAAACGCGCCTTCAGATTGTCGCCTATGACACGGAAATTGGCCAGACGCATCCAGCAGGTTTTTACCGTACACGAGCCGGACATGCCATGGCATTTGCACTCCTGACGCATCTCCGCTTGAACGTGCTGCAATGAGAGTAAGCATGGGGTAGACGGGGGCTTCATTAGTATGACTTTATTAGGCTGTTGAGATGTTGCGGCTGCTGCTGCTGCTCCTCCAATATCTTTTTCACTTAATTATTTTGCCGTTTTTTGCTCGATTCGATTGGCGGCCCGCCTGCCACGTTGTTGCAGTTATTAAAAATCAATAAATGTTGTTGCAACTTGCTGTGCGCATGTTGCATGTTATTGCTGCTGTTGCTGTTGCCTCTTGCCGCCGCTGCTGTTGTTGTAATTGGCCTGACCAAAAGTAAGAAATCAACGCAGTTGGGGGGCCCTGGCAGCCAGCAAGGCGCACAGCACAGTCAAGCACATGATGATCATCATCGATGGAGCCCATAACAAGTAATAAAATAATAACACAGATGGTGGCCCCAAAGATCTGGCGCTCCAGCTCAGCGCTGCGACTAGCTTTGTTAGCGCTGCACCACTCGGTGTGCTACTTTCTATGCCCCCACCAAGAGCTAGGCAACTGGGCGGCATACAAGCCATACTGTACAGTGGTCACTCGCAAATGGGCTAATTGCGAAAATTACTTGCAAATCTTAGCCATACATAAAAGATATCGATATGTTAATCAGCGGAGTGAATATTTGAACTTATATTGCTTGCAGATTGATCATTGTCTTAAATCGATATGGAAGCTTTGAGAGTTATCGATAACGAGTAAAACGGATCTTCATTTGTATAAGCGAAGGAAACAGCTTAGATTAATAAATTGATAGCAAATCGCAAAGCCTTTCTATTTGGAGAGTTGCGCCATGAAATCTGAGCAGCTAAATCTCATTGGCTTGATAAATGATCGGCTGATGAGATGAGTTTCATCCACTGTGCAATTGCATCCAGCTGCTGCGGACTACTTTTTTGTTGTAGTCCTCCACTACGAAGCTGGAAGCTGTCAACGATTTTAATATACGAGCTACATGCGCGCAAACGAGTGCACGAGAGACAGTAGTAGTGGCGTCTGGTTAGCTGGCTGCACAAGTTGGCGCAGCGGCGTCGCCAATTGGGGCGGAAATCGGCAAAGCACTCGTTGATTTTTATTAGGCAAGTCGTAAATTGTGGGCCAACCGAAGCGAGAGCCATTAGAATTATAATGGAGGATCGACTAAATGGTTCGTTAGATCGAACTGGATTGGTTTACTTACCGCTCGGCCCGCCTCATTGTTGTGCAGATTCATTTTTTCGCGCAGATTGCGTCCGCGCTCGCCGGTGTCCACGAACTCGCGCGAGAACTTGAAGCCGAAGCCGATGTTGTCGGAGCAGCCGCCCCACTCCCAATCCCGGACGCCAGCCACGCTGCCCGCCTGATTGGCCTGCGGAGAGCGCGTCTGATGGCTGTAGTCACAGGTGCAGGACTCGATAGTGCCCTCGCTGCAAGCTCGCGCTATCGAATGGGTTACAGCTGCGCTGGTAATGGCATAGATGAAGCCCGTCTCACGGCAGCCTGCAAAGAGTGAGAGAGAGAGGAAATATGAGCAACTGTTTCTGTTTCTGTTTCTGTTTCAGTTTCTGTTTCTGCAGAGTATTTTATATGTAAGCTTGTTGTGCCTTCTGGGTGTTCCACTTGGACACGACCCCCCAAGACAAGACAAGATCTCAATCTTGTTCAAGTACGATTGCGACGTGGGCAACAGTTAAATTCCTGCCCATGAATAATGGCACTTGTCTTCCAAAGTCTGGTCAATTATGACACTTCAAGTTATCTGCCGCCCTGCTGCAAACTGACGCACCAAACTGACACAGATTAAACGTTCAACTATAAATTCCAACTTAACACTTTGCCCCATCTACAGCAGCAGCCACAACAAAAAATGCCAACCAAAACAGCAGTCCTCCAGTCAAGGGCCCTTGTAGAAAACTTTACATTATTTTCATATACATATCTCTTCTTCTTCTTCTTTTTTCTGTTTTGTTTTTGTATTTTTAGTAACTGCCTCTGTTTTGGCCTGCTCTATGGCAGAGAGTGAGAGACCATCACAGATAAAGAACAATGAAAATTGAATTTACATGTTGCAGATAATTTTTCAAGTGCCTCTGCCACAACTCAAGAGCTACAGATACATAAATTTAGGTGTGTGTGTGTGTGTGAGTGTATGACACATGAGCGCATTCAGGTAGCTCTGCACACATATATATCACATATATTGTGACTACAACTGTTTGGTATTTGAAACTAAATTACTTAACATTTTAGCGCTGGCTACTGAACTTTAATGGGAGATAAAAAAGTGAAGGAATTTGAAACTTATGATTAAATTTGATTTAAATTAATAGAAATTATTTCTAATATTTAAACAATTAATTTACTAATATTTCATAAGTCTTGAAGTAGAGTTTGTTCGGACTATTAGCCAGAATGCACAGAGCTGAAACCCCCAAAAATTATTGCTGTACTTTTCTGTCAGCTAGAAGCGACTCAAATTTTTTAAAATAAACTTTAAGCTTGTTTTTATTTATATTTGTATAGCACACATTATTAAAGATTAAACTACATTTGATACCCATACAAAAAGCAAATATCGAGCTCGCGCTGGACCGAAACTTTCTTCCATTTTCTAGCTAAATAATTTTTATTTTCTATATTCAAACATAAATGGCTTTAATTTTATAAATTATTTTATAATTTCAACAGCCGAACAAAAGCTAGTTTTCTCTGTTGCTCGATATAGATATCAGCTCAGTTCGACTGGCTGCCGATTGATGCGACTGTGATTGACTGTCGAGCAAGGTGTTGATTGAGAATGTCAGCTTGTGAGCAATGAGCAGCTCTATCAACTTCCGCCTTCACGAATTGCCGCTTTGAATGCTCCGATTTCCCGGAATTGTGCCACAAATTTTTTTATTTTATTTTTTGTTCAATTCCCTGTTAATGTTTGTTTGTTTCTAGACTCACTCATGCTCAGCGTGTGTGTGTTGGTGTTGCATGGTTTCATTTTCATTTTTGGTGTTTTTTGGTTTTGTTTTCTTTAAATAATTTCACGTAGAAGGTAAATATGTGCGATGTTTGATCTGTGATAAGCAGAAGGCGGCAGTTGGCGGCCGGCGCATGCGCAAACGTCGTCATCAACAGCAACAGCAACAACAACAACAAATTGACTCTGACTTTTGGTGATTAGCTTAGCAAGAATTCGCGTTACATTGCGTGACAAGTGAAGTACTGTGTGTGTGTGTGTTTGTGCGTGTGTGTGGTGTTCTCTTTTGTGGATATTTCTCTTTTTACGCTGTGTAAATAGCTTGGCAAATGTTTCGCCGAACAAAAGACAATAAAACAGCGAGCATTGAGCAATTAAGTGATGAAAGAAATGAGTGGCTCATGAGTGGACTCATTCACATTGCTTGAATGGGTGTGTCGCAGGTACTCTTTAATTTGCCAAGGCAAACATTCAAATGCATGTGTGTGTGTGGGGCAACAATAGCGAACAACGCCCACAAAATGTTTTACGCATGTAATCTGAGTAGCTTTAGAGCTGTGCTCCTCTCTCACTCTCTGTCTAACTGGCTCCCGCAGGACTTTTTTGAACTCCTCTTTTTGGTTAATTGCTAAACGGATTTCCGCTGCTGCTGGGCGTGGCAAGCTGGCTGATGAAATTGAGAGCATAACTCAGAGCGAACTCAGGTAGCTCAGCAGCACAGTTAAGCTGCTTAGCAAGGATAGCGCTGGAAGAGAGACATAGAGAGAGGTCCATGTGTCTTTGGCTCTGGCCCTAGCTATTCCAGGAATAGTTTAGACATTGATATAAAAGCCACAGGCAGCCACTGGCAGCAGCTTGGGGTGGCTGTCATTCGTCATCCTTCATGATTAGAATGCGCAAAAACCAAGCGGAAAAGGTAAGAGTACGAATGTGAGCTCGAGAGCACATAATACCCTAGGCAACTAATCGAGTCAGTCGTGTTAAAGCGTGTGGCGTGCCAAATTGACAAGGTGTCACCAATTAGAAAACAAGTTAGTTGAGCTCAGTTGAGTTGTCTCATCTGTGCCCCGCTGGCTGACTATCTGAATTTGACAGGGTAAGGCCCTAGTGCTGTCTCCAGGGTATTAACGCACAGTTTGAGAGCCACTGTGCGGTGCAACCCCAAGTGTTAATGGCCTAGGTGTTAATTAGGGCCAAGGGCACATAAAAACACAATGAAAGGAAATAGGAGTGCGATGAAAGTGCTGCGATAAAAAGCTGTCACCAGACCAATAATCCAGCCATCCAACAATTCGACAATCGAGAAATCCATAAAATGTCAAGAGAGTGCAACTCATAAAAAAAGGATGTGCTGACTCGTCCGTTGATAAGGTCAAGAGCCCGCGCTCTAATAAAAGTCAGCTGCCGTTGAGTGAAAGGTTGACGCCGCTAACGAAACGCACGCGACGCTACGCGCACGCCCACTGGGCATTTAAGGGCGTGGCCTTTATGGGTACAGGTAGCACAGGACAGTAGCTATAATAAAACGACATGACACTTTTTGCAATTCATAAGAAACTGCGGGATTGCCGGACTACCGGGCGGCCGACCAGCCGGACTGCGATGCCTGTTTACATTTATATGAAAATTATTGTTGACAACAGGCCCAGACGAACGACAACGGGGAGCGCAAAAAGTGTTGGGCCGAGATGGCTCAGATGGTCGCCTGGGACACGGCACTGCAACTCCAGGCTAACTGTCACAGCGGGCGAACAAACAAGCACTTTTGATTGATTTGAATGCAATGCTCAGGCTCGGCTCAGATCTGCAGGCTAATTCTGAGAGGAAGGCAGGCATTTGGTGCTGCCAACCTGCGGCAATTAGCATAAACATGCTGAAACGCCAAGTGGAGCAAGTGCAGCAGCGCGGCTGACAATCGAGACAAGGCAATGCCATTGTTTCGACACAGGGACAGCGACAGCGAAAGTGGCCCAGCAACATGTGGCAAAGTCTCCAAGCGGCAAGTGCCAGATCGTATTACTGCAACAACAAACATGCAACCCACGCACACACACACACAAAGTGACATTTAACAACATAAATAAGAACAACAAAACTGAAACCAAATCAATTCGTGCATTTGCTACTAGCAGCGCAAAGAGGCGTTGACAACAAATACTCTGCTCGGGTAGGGCAAACAGATCGCAGATCACAGATCACTCACATCACAGTTCACATATCATATTTCACCATGCGCAACTAATTCGAGCTACAAACTGATTGCATTTTACAATTAGAACTTAGTAGAACTTAACTAAAGAGATTAGTTGATGTGAATAGTAGAAGTTGGTAAAGATATAAATTGGGGAAAATTTGAAATCTTTAAAGAGTATAAAAAAGCTTGTTGAAGTAAATAGTTTTCTGGTCTTAAATGCTTATTCATTTGTGCTGATTGTTGTAATATTTTTAAAATATTTTTGTATATTTGAAAATCAACTGATAACTCAGTTTCAGTTTTTTAAAATTTAGTTTGCTTATAGCAATTATTTTTTCTTTATATTAAAATTCAGTTTTAAATGTTTTTAAATTTTTTATAATTATAATTTACTGAAATGTTTAAGAGAATTCTAAATATATTTTCCTATTTCTAATATATTTTTTGCATAAAAAATTCAATTTTTTCAGTTGGAAAATTCCACACTTTTTCGTACTCACCTCGATCGACGATTTTGCCAAAGAGATTCTTGCCGCGCAGAAAGTTGCGCGTGGAGCAGTTCCAGCGACGATTGCGAAACTGATGCTGGCACTCACTAATGGCCATATTGGCGCCCTTGACCAGAGCGCCCAGCACGCCAGGATTGTCGCGGACTAGGCGACGCTGCTTGCGGCGCAGCGTCGAGTGAATGGCGGGATCCATGTACATGATGCCTGTGCTGATGGGTGAAATGTTGTTGGGTTCGCCGACCTTGGCAATGCCCCTGTAGCAAATGGAAGAAAGTGAACGACCCAAAAATTAATAAAGAACTCACAAGTTGAGAAAGAGCGGGAAGGTTGGGGGCGTGTCAAAACTATTTAATGCTTCAGTTGCTTTTTTGCGCCTAATTACAAACGGAAATCTCGAGCAGCTGGACACGCACGGCAGCCGAAAAAAGGCCGCAAAGACGGATCAACATTTTCATTATGTTTCTATTTGTATGCGTATTTGTTTCTCTACTATATATGTATGTTTTTTTTTTGGCATTATGTTTATTTCCACTTGACTTGAGTTAAGTTGTTGTTATTATTATTCTTGGTTTTTCACTTGCGGCTTTTCCTTTTTGTTGAGCACGTCAATTGCCGGCGTTACTCATGCATGCAGCACACACACAAGCACACATAGAAAACCCCATACACTGACAAATATTTGATGACACTTGTCGGCATTCGCTTCCATTTGCTGTCATCTTTATATTGTATTTTTATTTATTTTTTGTTGCTGTTCAAATGGCCTTGCCTACATTTTGTATCTGCCAGGTAGTTATAGTATATACTTTAGTATATTTGCTCTCGTTACAAATTATGTGCTTAACAATAACAACAATAAATAAATATAAACAAATGTTTATTGACAGCGGCGCGTATGCAAATTAATTGCCAATTCAATTGTCCGTTGATTGCGGTGGGAAAGTTCATATATCGCTTATTGTTTTTTCTTCTTCTCGTTTCATTTCATTTATTTATTTATTTATTTATTTTGTTGCTGCTTTCAAGCAATTGCGTAATACATTGAAAAAAAAAAAACAAAACGAAAGTGTAACAAAATTAAAAAAAAAAAAAAACAAAATAAAACAGAACTCGCTTTAAACAAAAGCAAGCAACGGGCGACGGCAAAGCGCAATCGATGCGATTCCCAGGCGGATTAAAATCAATGGGCAACGATTTATGCGTTCGCCGCAAAAAACGGGCAGCATTTCTTATACATTTATTTATTTATTTTTGCTGCTGTTCTGTTTAGCAAAATTGATGCCGTTATAAAAAGTTATTACCGCATGCAATTTTTTCAGCTCGAATTGAACTTAAATCGAACTTTCGGGCTTGTATGCGCAAATCGAAAGACTTAGGCAACGAACTTGATTTGGTAGACTGAACAGCTGCTGCAGTTGCCCATTAATAAAACGTATTCTTAGCACACTTTGTTCATGTCTTGGCTGGCATTAAGTGTGTCACCTATACACACTCACTCACACACACAGACGCACACACATCTCATGTCTCATCTGTTTTCCCCCCAGAGGTAAAAGTTGAATGCGCGCTTAGAATTTTTAATTGCTTTCATCAGACAAAAAGCTGCAGCGGCTGCGGCTGCTGTTGTTGTTGCACTTTGTGGCTTCCGCATTGTGCGTGCTGCACAACAAAAAAAAAAAACAACAGCAGCAGCAGAAGCTGCCACGAGATTTGGTCATTTAAAAACCAAGACCTTTTGGCATCTTTTGACTTAAGCTTGGGAAAATTTTTTATTCAACTCTTGCGTTAATATTCGTGGCTTTCTTAACGGTTGCTGCAACTGCTGCATCCGTTGCTGGCGCGTGCCTCAAAACTTTGTTTGGCTATGACTTTTTTGACTTTTGGCTCACGCAACACTCGCAGCGCTCTGCCCCCGGTGCCTGTTTACGCTTGTTCTTCTCGCACGCTCGCTAATTGCCCGAGCTGTTTGTCCCCCAAAGACGAAATTTGTTGTTGATCTATGCAAATGTTGCGTGGGTGTGGTGCATATCAGTAGCTCGCTGGTCTTTTCAATGTCAGAGATGTGCACATACATGTGTGTGTTCCCCTTGGATTTTCTTGCTACTTACCACCACATGGAGCCTCGGCCTCTGCCCGATTTCTGTTTGCTTTCGGCGTCGGCGCTGTATAGCGCCAGCAGGCAGATGAAAAATATGTAACTTAAATCCATGGCAAAGTTTTTTTTTCACAAATATTTGTATATATATATATACATATATATATATATCAGGGGTTGATTCTGCTGACCAGTTAGTCAGTTTTTTATTTGCTTTCGATTCTTGATTATATTCTTAGATTCGCTTGTCTAAATATTTTCTTTTTTATGGCAATTTCACGTTCAATTAGCGCACTATAAATGAGGCATAATCATCATTAGCATGCGCACAGGTATTGATTTTGATTTTTTGTGCATCGTATTGATATTGACTTGGTTATCGAGCTGTTATTTTATATAGCTTGATCACACGGCTCGGCACTTATTTTGTTTTTTTATTTTTGTGTTTTGTTTCACTTGTAAAAAACTTGAAACAGTTTTTTCGATGAATAAAGACGATGTCTTAAACACTTTCCATATGCTCTACGTAGTTGGCGAGTGGACGCGACGTAAGTATTTTGTACGAATTGTCGGTGCCGGAGCGGAGGAGTGAAAGATTGTTACCCGGTTCAGTGCCAACGCTTAACTGAAACACACGGCGCGTTCTTTTACCTGGACCGATCGAGTCTCGACTCAACTCGACTCGACAAATAGATTTTTGAAACCTGTTCAGCTGCCGTTGCCGATGCGTGCGCGTGTGTTGACGACAGCGAATACGAGAGGCGAATGAGCGACTGACGGACGAGAGTCACAGCCAGCAAACAGATCGAAGACAGCCAACCAGAGACTCGAAATTATAGAGGATCGAGCCACGACATGACAGTCGCAGTCGCCGTCGTCGACGTCGTCGTTGTCGGCGCCGCCGCACGAATTGCCGAGCACTCGCTTCGTGTGCCCATGTAAAATGGGCTGTAACCCAAAAGGAAATGTGCGCAATAGTTTTACAAATAATAAAATATATACCATTCATGAATTTAGTAATAGTATTCTTTAAGAAAAATGTACTAAACTGATATCAAAATTAATGTTTTTAGTTATAAAATAATATTTATTAACATATTCTTTTTGTATATAACAAAAATTAAAATTGCTAAACACCAGTCATAAATACTAAATTCCATTATAAAACGTATATAATAAAAACATTTTATATTTATAAATAATTTTTAATATAACAGAAATATATTTGTACAGTAATTTTTCAAGCAGCAATCGATAACTAGCAATAGCAGCAGTTTTCACTATGTTTTTCATGCCTACAGTTCCGGCTGGTGTTGCTGTTGCTGTTGCTCTGCCGTGCGGCTCACGATCAAAAAACGTGGAGGAGGAGCAATTTGATGCTTGTCCAACGCAGCCTATCCACAGCGTGTGTGTGAAGAGTGCAGCTAGCGTAGCAACACATATTACGAGAGACGAACGTTTGGAGCTGAGTCGTGCGTGTGTGTGTGTGTATGTGTGTTGTGCATTGGTATTTCGTATGTGTAGTCTATATACCGGCTGCGCCCAATAAGAAATGGCGGAAACATTGGAAGTTATTGCCAGTGCATTTTTCGGTATCACAGTCAAGCAATCGCTTTGGCCAGATTGATGGAATTATTTTTGTGGTTTAGTGGCGATTTATGGGTGCGCTAACTGCATTTAATTACACTTATTTTCCACAATTTGATACAAATATCAATAACGGTAAATTAGCATATCAACAGCTTTGGGCAACACTTAATTTTTATTACAAAGAGCTCGTGTGTGTTTTGTAATTTTTTTGAATGTTTATTGCTTTTAAACATTTTATTAATGATTTTTATTGTGGGTTACAGTTGGTGGAATTATCTACAATATCCGAAAATGCATATGTGGGAGTTATAGTGAACGTTTTCAGCTAATCAATATACATAAATCAATAAAAAAAACTTTTAAATTATAGAAAGGCTGCCAACATGTTAAGCGAAACTCATTCAATGCATTTAGGTTATGCTGAAAGATCATTTCATTTAATATATATTATAATATTCTGATATTCCTAATAAGCAAAAGGCGCACTGAAAATTTTTTTTATTTTATTAATTATATTTTATAAATATTTGATTTGTTCTTCAGATATATTATTTGCATTTGAAATTGTTATTTACTATTTTATTTCATTGCACTTATGAATTTTACATGAGAATTCTCTACTTGCTTTGCTATTCGGAGTAAATATATTTTCGGAGTGAGCGCTGCTTATGTACACAGCAGAGCACATACTTACGCTCTTTGTTCACACGCACGCTCACTCTCCCTCTGTCTTGCTATCTCTCTTCCTCACATGCACACACACACATATATCGCTGCTTACCTTTTGCTTGCTCTTGTCGAGCTTCTACTTTGGCTGCGCCAACTAATTGGACAGTCAACTGCATTTTGGGCATGCGCGCGCCCGCTTGCACCTAAGGCAGATGTGCAGATCCGCTTCGGCTTATATATTTCCCATATAGCCATTGCATTCGCGCGCACAGTGTTGTTGCTGTCGTGCACATCCGCAATGAATTAAATGTATTTTTTAAGATTATGTCAAGCTATTAATGGGCTATTATTTGCGGAATTAGCAACAACACACAGTTCCTCGATCCTCAAGCGATCGTAAATGTCATTAAAGCGCACAAAATGGCGGACCGAGAAACAGCCTGCGCAAATATTGGCACAGTCTGGCACTGGCTTAGGTTCAAAAGAGTTAGATGAGTGAGTGCGATCTATTTGCTTAGGCAACTTAGGCAGGCGGGCGGCTGGTGACGGGGCCATAGCTGCAAAATTAGCGCGTTCTTATTAATTTTATTGCTGCGGAAAATCCAAATGATGGGAACAGAAATAGAGACCGAGACAGAGACGAAGACGGAGGCAGAGAGTTGAAAAACTCGCTGCAACACTCACTGCCAACTGCACGGACACAGCCGTGTAAACAAATCATAAAAGCCGCTGTAGGTAGTCCGCTATACGCTATATAGTGGTAACCCCTGCATGAACTGCTAGCTCGGTGTAGTCGCGGGGCTCATAAAGGCGCGCAGTTTGGCTGGTGAGTAATGGCCGATGAGCTGTTTTAATTTGGCCATAATGAAGGCTATATAAATTGGTATTACCATGCGATATGGTTAGCCGCAGACGAGACGTAGCGAATGCGATTTCGCCTGTATTGGCCTTCAGTTTGACTGCCACCAAACGGGCAGCAATCCATCAAATTTCTAAGGTCAGCAGCAGCAGCTGCTGGTGTAACCAAAGCAACGCCACAACAAGCAAAATACACAACCACACAGCGCCCACAAACCCCCCGAGGCTCGGCTCTCAGATCGCTGCGGCTCTGAAGGTCAACTAAACGGCAGCGTTGACCTTGAGCCGTATTTTTTTTTTTGACAAGGTCAAGTCTTGGTTGCGGCCCAGTTAGAAGGTGTTTATGAAACAAGTCGCAAAGTCAACTGTCACAAAGCGTTGGGAAATTCGTACAACATGCCAACGGCAGTGGGAGTCGGGTGTAGGCGTGGGCGTGGTCCAGCATCAGTTGACTTAAGCTGCAAAATTTCGGGCTCATAATTGCAAATAATCGCTGGGTAAGCGCAACTAAGACGCTGACTTCGACTTCGACTTCGACTTGCTGCCACGCCTCTGTCCCGCTGGGGCTGCACGTTACACGTTGCACATTTACCTGGCTGGCTAATCGTCTACAATCGAAATTTATATGGTCTGCAATCATTTGGCATCATTTGGCAGCTCTGGCAACAAGCTGACGAACGCTCCATGAAGTTGTCAACAGTTGGATTCGACACGCTGTGTCCTGTCAGCGCATGTCCTGCCGGGGTCAGTTTTCGTGCCCGCCTGTTGTCCTCTCGCGTACCTCAACGTTTGCACAGGGTGTGAAAATTGCTTCCAAATAAAAATTTGCAACACTTCGATACCCTGTTGGGCCATAATGTTTGTTATGCTTGACTCTATTTGTTGTTGTCGTTGTTGTTGTTTCTGGCTGTTAATGCGCCGTGCAAAAATGCAGCCAGTTCCGCTACGCTTCAGCCCGAACCCAAAGCAGAATCTATCCGACTCTGTTCCCGCTGATGCACAACTGCTGAGCGCTGCATTCATCGCGATCATCGCAACGATCATGCGCAGCTCGCGTCCTCCTCTGCTGCAGCCAGTCAAAGCAGTTGCCCACCACTTGCTGTGCCGGCCAGTCAGACTATTTTATTGCACTCGATTTTACGCTCAGGCCACTGTCAGCCAGATCTGCGTTCAGCGTTCAGCGTTGGAGCGAGCTCGATAGCTGGCAGCTGATCGATCAGGCAACACGGCTTGCGGAGTGGGCGAATGTTAGCCCTAATGGGCATGACATGAGCCGATTATCCTGGCATATTGTTAATGCTTGTTCGATTATGCCCTGATCAGAATAGATCAGCACGTTCAATGGGCAGCTGAGGCAATTTTATGATGCTTAAGCTGCTCTTGAATGATCGCGTAAGTCACATTATGTTATTAATAGATTATCTTATGTTCAATGAAAACTATGTAGATTAATATATCGCATCGAATTATCTGAATAAATATATAAATCCAATGTGAAATGAATTGATATAAAATTTTGTTGATTTAATATTTTTTTTTTAAATTATTCAAAAATATTTATTTTATTATTTCAATTAATGTTAATCGTTATTGTTAAAGAAAATTTAAAAATATTTATAGAATTATTTTATTGAACAAATTTGAAACTAGGTGCAATTAATTTCCTTGTCGCTTCGTTCATTTTGTAATATATATATTGAAATATTTTCCTGCTACGTTTAATGGAGAGTATTGCCTGAAGAAATGTTATCTAAAAAATAAGATCAATATTTTCTATAATTATTTATTATTTAATTTTTTATTTTAATTACTTTTCCAGCTATATTAATATGTTCTATAGTTATTTATTGTTTTATTTGTTATTTAAATTACTTTATTTATTTATTTTTATTTATTTATTATATTATTTATTTATTATATTTAATTTTATATTTATTTATATTCCTGTTAAAGGAAGTGCAAGTTGAGCGGCTTACAACTTCTTCTAACTATACGAA